AACGGGACAGCCTCAAGCAAAGCTTGAATTTTTTCACCTTCCCCTTTTACCACTTGGAGATGTTCCCTGGGGGCAAGCACCTATCAAACTATCTCAAACCCAAACCCCTCGTGCCTTGTTCCAACTCCTTCGTTTGCACCCTTTTCTCGCACTTCACCCTTCCTGGGTCCGCCTCACCTCTTTTGATGGTGTGGAAGGAGGTGAGGCTACACTTTGGTTCGATTGGAGAAAAGGGAGTCGGATTAAAAGAGAAAACTTTTATTTTATAATTTTGTTTTCTATTTAAATTTTCTATATTCATTAGAAAATAAAAAGAGAGAAGTATCATCCATTCGATATAGTTGACATTTTAATAATTAAGTAGATGAATTGTCGAAGACTAAGAAGCGATGCTATCAGAACACAAGTTCTAAGACTAAGCACTTTTTTGTATTATTTTAAGTGCTTATAAATTATGGATTTAACGAAGTTTATGAATAATAAGTGTATAATAAATTATGAATCTTACGAAATAGGTAGATAAAAAAAAATATATTATCAATTTAAATTACAATTTAAGCACATCTGAACCTGCTTTAATTTCTTAAGCTACGAATGTGATAGAATAAGAGTCAATATTTCGGTCAATAAATCAAATGGAAGGTATGAAAAGTGCGTGAAGTGATAAGATAATTGCAATTGGTATGGTAGGGCAATGTGTTCGAAGACAAGTTCAATAAATAAAGTAGGAATACAAGGTTGGTCAAAGTCAAACATACATTAACGTAGAAAATTGAATCTACAGTGAAATTGACTCAACAACTAGACGTGACGATAATATCTTGTCATCCCAATGCTCTAAATTAGCTAAAAGTCTAGGCCCTAAAACATCCACGAATGCATCATCTTCATGGAACATATGCGTCCAATAACTAATGTTCACATTTATTTATAATCTATGAGATTTATTTCTTTTATTCGTGTCCCCCCAACCAAAAAAAAAAAAAAAAAAACAAGAAGTAAAAACTAAAAATCAAAGATTTGATATTAATTTTGTTGGAAGCTATACCATATTACATAGATCTTCTTAATGCAAATGGTTTACATTAGATTTAGGGACATTTTGGTAAGATTTTTGAAAGGTCAAAATTGTTTTCGAAAAAAGTTATTTTGAACATATTTTGATTAGTTTTTTTAAAAAAATTAGTCCGACTTAAAATGCTTCGAGGAAAAATTGACCTAAATTAGTTTTCTCGAAAAGTTCTTCTGCAAAAGAAAAAATTCTACGAGACAATGAGAATCTTAAAATGAATATGAAATTAGCCAAATTGCACATTATTGATTATTACAGTGCGTGGGTTAAAAAGAAGGGAATATGGTCATAAATTATTATTATTATTATTATTTTTGACCTATTAGATTTTGGTGACATTGGGGCTTGGGAAAAGACTAGAGAGGATAGGGAATAAAGAGTCCGGATAAGAGGAAAGGAATGTGGCCACAATTTGTCCACTATGTCGGGGGTTAAGATTTGCACGTTGAGAAAATGAATACTACTCAGAAAATCAAAAGCATAATCGATCAAAACAGAACACAAAATCTTGAAAATAGAAAAGAGCAATCGATCAGAGGTAAAAATTAAAATAAAAAATAACACTGTTAATAAGTGCAATGCATCTCTCGAACTTGTGTTAGAATAGAGCAATGTTGCAAGTACAGAGAATTTCAACAGAATTTTGACAGGCAAAACAATTGGCGAATTTGCATTGGAAGGAAAAAAAAGAAGAAAAAAAAATTGTTTTTATTCTGATGAAATTCCCTGTAATTGCAGCTTTATTCGTTAGAATATTATCTGACAATAAAAAACAGGGTGATTGCCACCAAAATAGTTATCTTGTAATGAGAGGGATTAAGAGGAAAAAATAGTTATCTCTTGTAATGAAAGGGATTAAGAAGAGTGATTAAGCAATAAAGAGTACAATAAACCCTAGCTCCATAGTAAAAGCAACCATGAGCAACCCATGTGACTCCCACTCATATGAATTCATCCATATGCCATATTATTGTTAAGATTTTAGATTTCATCTTAAAACGTTAACTTAATCAATGAAGTAGCCCAAACCTCCTTATATATTGATCTATGTTTCGATATTTAACTAATGTGAAATTTATCTCTTAACATGTCTTGCAAGATAGTGGCTCGTTCGATCAAATCAATCTTGAAAATAATTTGCCCGTTTTTATTTTTAAACGGATTATATTAGAGTCCCACATTGACCAGTGATATTTGCACGATCCACTTAATAAGGTGAAACAATCCTCCCCTAACAAGCCGATTTTGTTAGGTTGAGTTAGACCCAATATCCTTTCTAATATGATATCAGAGCAGGTCCAATTTTACAATGTTGGATATACCCAATATCGATTTGGAGGAAATTATACTAAATCAGGTGTTTAGTTTAATGTTTATGAAAATCAGGTTTATACTTTATTTAATAAAAAATCAGGTTTTAATTTCACAATTAATATTAATAATGATATTTTAAATTAAATTAATATATATATTCACCCCTATCCCCCATCCCCCCATTTCAATTAAATCTATCCAAACTCTAAATCTATCAATTTCTCTCCACCCTCCCATTTCTCTCCACAACCCCGCCTCCTCCCACCACCTCCCCCCATCGCCTCCTCCCCCTCTCGCCTCTCTCTTCTTTCCTCCTCTCTCTCCCTATCTCTCTGTCCTCTGTGTGGTGGTGTGTGCGGTGTGTAGTGGGTGTTGTGTGGTGGTGTGTGTTGTTGTTTTGGGGGCGATGGCGATGGTGAAAGGTGTTTTGGCGGTGGTATTTTTGCGGTGGAAGTCTTTATTCTTCTCTCTGCACTAATTTACTTAGATAACTTATGGGGTTTTCAGATTATCCGTTTGAGATTAAGAATCACAAGCACTGGAGCTTATTGTTTATGACTAGGAACAAGTACATGTTGAAACTTTGTTATTTTTTTTTTTCCTGGTTATTCTCCTTTGTATCTGAGCTGTTTGTATTATTCCCCATGTGGGTAAACATTACAAGATGGGTGATGGTGGATCTGTGGTGTGGTGATGGCGATCCATGTGGTGGTGGTGGTCTTTTTTGTTATTGTTGTGGCGGGGTCAACGACGATGATGGATATTTTGGTGTTTGTGACCTAACTACTGAACTGTGACTTTAAAATTGATAATTTGTAACTAAAAAAAAAATCTGTGACCAAAAAATTTGAAAATACGTGACTGTGACCTATAGTTTTTTTTGATCTGTGACCAATAAAATAATCCGTGACTTATAAAATTTTAGATTTGTGATCTCGAAATAATCTGTGACTTACAAATTTTTTTATCTGTGACCGATTAAAAAACTGTGACCTATAAAATTTTAAATTTGTGATCTCGAAATAATCCGTGACCTACAAAATTTTTGATCTGTGACCCGAGAATAGTCGCCGGAGCAGTAGGGGAGGTGGAGGTGGGGTGGTGTGTGTATACCGGTGTAGTCGCCGTAGTAGCGGGGGTGGGTGTAAGGGAGGTGGGGTGGGTTAATTATATTATATTACAGTTAAATATTTAATTTAATATAATAATTGTGAAATATAATTAATTAATTCATAAAAAACCTGATTTTTGCAATTTTAAACATTGAGACCTGATTTTTTATTTTGGGATAGATAAAACATGAGTTGTGAATTTTTCCTTATCGATTTGTTCACAATTGTTTGGCATAGTTCACGCTGTGCGTGAAGGGGCGTATTAGAGTCTCACATTAGCTAGTGATATTTACACGATCTATTTAATAAGGTGAGGATAATCCTCTCTTAACAAGTCGATTTTGTTAGGTTGAGTTAGACCCAATATCATTTTTAATAGATTAAATTATTGGTTGAAGAATGAAGTCTAATATCATGTCAAAAATTTTGAATTTCATTTTAAAAGATCAAAGAAGCTTGTACCCTTGTATATTGGAACCCAAGCCCTAACAATTATCGCTTTTAAAGCCATGAATTTAGGGTACATATATATATATACTAGGTGCAAGCAACGTGTAATGCACGTTTGCTTAGTTTATATTTAATAGTTTTGTTTAATAATTAATTTGTTATTAATAAAGATGTAATTTTTTTGGTTTATTAAATAATTAATGATATAATGTTTATATAATTGTTAAATAATTAGATGTGTGATTTTGATGTTGTGATGTAAGTTGGTGAGATCGAAGAAAATAAGCAAAAGTTGACAAATTTGGAGAAATGGCTAAATTGTAAGGGATCCAAAGTTCGGGGACTAAAAT